GTCACATTAACATTTCGTGTTTTTACTGAGCTATATAACATATGTACAAGAAACAATGCTCAAAACAAGCATGAGTGTGATCAGGGAGTTGTCTGGAGGAAAGGGGCGGCTTCCCCAGGCTGAATGTGGTGCTTCTGCCCCCTTGCGGTGGGGCCAACTCTCCACAGTATCACTGAAGCCTCTGCTTCCTCTGATTCCCAGCCCTGCTGGGGCAAGGAGTGGGGGGGGGGGGCAGGGTGGGGTGGAATATGCGCATCAGGAGGGCACCTGGGTCCCGGAGACAAAGCCTTTGTAGGTCCATCTCACTAGCTCAGCTGCAAGCATTCCTAGTTCTGCTGTACCTAGCACAGCTTTCTCATGCTGATTACAGGGATGTAAGCCTTAAGGAAAAGCGATGGATCAAAATACGGCATGAAACTGATGCCCTTGTACATGCAAAGGCTTATCAAGCTTTCAATTTAGACATTTGTCCGGGAACTGGGCCATCAGGTCCTTATTCCTATAGGAATAAACTGAAGTCACGAACAGACTTGTTGCTCGAATCTCCCAAACTGATCAGAATGTGACAGTTGACAATTGGTTTACTGGCTTCCAGTTAATATTATATTTGCTAGCAGAGCACAGGTTGACCAGTGCAGAAACTACAGAGGAACAAAGCAGAAAATCCAAATGAAATGTTGAAATTTGGGGGGGCGGGTTGGTACTGGGGATTGAACTCATGACCTCATGCTTGCCAGGAAGGTGCTTACACCCCTGAACTAAATCCATGGCGCCAAAATGTTGAAATTTCTTTCTTTTGGGGTGGGGGAGTTCTGGGTATGGAACTCATGACCTCATACTTGCCAGGTAAGCACTTGTACTGTCTGAGCTAAATCCCCAACCTGAAATGTTGAAATTTCAAAACAGGGGGCTGGGGATTTAGCTCAGCGGCATAAGCGCCTGCCTTGCAAGCAGGCAGTCGTGAGTTTGATCCCTGGTACCGATAAAAACGAAAAAGACCAAAAAAAAAAAAAAAAAAAAAAAGAAATTTCAAAACAGAAAATTGTATAGTACAATCTTTGGATTTCAGAAAGATGTAACACTAGAGTCTGTGCCTAGATCCTCAATCTCCCAAGTGGGTGCACAGCGAAGGCCCAAAGGAATGAGATAAGAGGCATGATATTTAGGGTTCCAAGAGGACTAAAATCCTTTGCAGAGCTCGTAACTCTGCTAGCCAGCCAACCAACTGACTCTGGGCAGCCTCAGGAGTTGAGTGGAAAACACAAGAAACCTGAGCAGGATCTTGGGAGGGGTTCAAGAACCCCTCAGAGCAACAGACAAAGCTAATTAAGGAAAACTGTCCAGAAAGTCTCCAGGTGGCCTCAGCTGTTGTCTATCTTGCCCCAAGGCATTCTCCTTGTTCAATCATGCCCAGCCACACTGCAGCCTCACATGTGTGTTCAGCTTCAACGGCTCCAAGAACTGCTGATGCCAAGATTTCGGCACTATGCAAATATTGACAGGGAAACAGCAACAGAAGGAAACTTTCACAGCAAAACCAAAGAGGGAGTACTCAGGAGGCTGTGGCAGGAGGATCCTTGTGAGTTTGAGGCCAGCCTGGGCTACAAAGTGAGCTCAAGGCCAGCCTGAACAGAGCAAGACCCTGTCTCAAAAAGACCCCCCACACACCAAAAAAAACCCAAAGGTGGAGCAGATGTTTTTGATGAGTTATGCAGCATCTATGATGTCACTTGAAACAAAGCACAGGTCAGTGGTGGTTTTACTCGATCCTAAATGTGTGGCATAAATAGTTTGATAATTTACAAAGAAAATAGTAAGTGCAAAATGTCATACAGAAAAATTTTTAGACTATTTTAGATTAGCTGGAGCTCCTAAGATATCATTTAAAGCAGACAAAAAATGCTTCTGCCTAGGGAACTACACAAAAAACTGGTGCACACACACTGGTGAGCTGACAGGTAAACAGGCAGGCACAGCATCTTGAACACCTATTACAACAGGAAAACGAAGATCTCGTGGTTTTTTTTTTTTCTCTTTTTACCGGTACTGGGGATAGAACTCATGACCACCTGCTTGTAAGGCAGGTGCTTACGCCACTTGAGCTAAATCCCAAGCCCCAACAAAGAAGATCTCAACTGTGCCCTATAACAAAGAACAGGAAAACAAAACACGTGCTATGAATGGGAGGGTGCTTGTGTGTGGAACACGCAGTTATTCACGGGAAGAGGCCTTGGTGTGAGGGCTGAGCAAAGCTTGTTTCTGTGGCTGCCTTCTGCTTGTGTCTACACTGCAGTTCACGTGGCTTTTTATTTTCGATGTTCTCCTTCAGTTTGTGAGCTTGTAAACAGCTGATGTGAGAGTGCTGATGTCTGCTCTGGGCATTCATTACGTACCTGATGCTGTATTTTATCCATGTTTTATTTCCCTAAGCGCATGTTGTACGATAGAGTAGGAAGGTCCCAGCAAAACAGGGAGAGAAGAGAGGTGACAAGACTGCCACACAGGAAAGGAAAGCTAAGCTAGGCACACATGCTGTCAGTGCAAGCGGGGTGGGTGCATGGCACACACAGCTGTTCTGTGTGAAGACTGCCGTGGTGCGGCAGCTGAAGCAAGCCTGTTTTGATGGTGGAGTTCTATTGGTGCTTTGATTGCCGTTCCTAGAGGAATCTAGCTCTGATGCTATCTTTTAGGTTTTGTGAGGAAGTACACAGCTAATGTGAAATGCTGTCTATGCAAATGCACAGTGCATTCTAAGAATTTAATAATTTATTTTATTGATAGCCTATGTTCCTGCTAATTACGTACTGTGTAGCACAGTGAGAGCCTGACCAAACAGTGAGACCTCTGAGATGTCAGATGTGCCCTCAAAAGGGCCAGGAGAGCAGAGAGACGTGCTGTCAGCGTAAGCAGTGTGCGTGTGTGGAAGGTGCTGCTGTCACATGTGCAGAAGCTCAGGTGTGACCACCGAAGTAAAGATGATTTTTTTTGTAGTGTGCCATTGGTGTTTTCATTGTAGTTCACACGGGAATTTATTTCTGATGTCCTTTTCTAGACTCCGTACACCAAAAACCAGCGGTTGTTGAAAATGTTGGTTTTATACACAATAAAAATTAAACACTCAATTTATTTTTGTGACATTTTTTCTTGTCAAATACTCATTGCTTAGAATCATGTTTATGCACCTTGATGACAAACTTCAGCCATATACTCTGATAATATACCTGGAACTTTAGGCTGGACTCCAGAAGTGCCCTTCGGAGCAATGGGCTCCAATTCTAGAAGACAGTGAGGCACAGGGGAGAAAGGGGAGGGAGCCAAAGGTGTCACTGTATGGAGCCCATGAGGTGGGAACCCATCTGCCTGGCTGCTCTGAATCCTGGAGCCTGGCCAGAACTACTCCCCCACTCCTGCACTGGGGACTGACCCCAGGGCCTTTGCACGGAGCTACATGCCAGCTCTTTTCATTTTTGTTCTTTTCATTTTCTTAATAAGCACACTGTTTTACTAATAAGCGCATGTTTGCAGGACATGATCACATTCATTGTGGGGAAGGGGTACATGTACACAACACCTTTATTCTTTTTGCATCCCCCTCCCTTCCCTTCTATACCCTTCTTCTCTTTGTCCCAGCTTGTTTGTTTTGAGACAGGGTTCAGACTGGACTCGAACTCACTATATAGCCCACATTGGTCTGGAACTCTCAATAATCCTCCTGACTCAGCCACCTGAGTCCTGGGATTACAGGCATGACCTCGCCCAGCACCAGAGTTTTTTCATCATCCTGTAATGACACAGTTAAGTCTCAGTTCTCTCATTTCCCCGGCACCTGCCAATTACTCTACTTTCTCCTCTGTGAATTTGGTTACGTTTGGTACCTCACATAAATGGAATCACACAGTATTAGACCTTTTCATTGTTTCATTAGTACACTATTTTCAAGGTTCATTCTCGTTGCAGTGTGAATCAGAAATTTCCTTCCTTTTACACCTGAGTAATACCCAATGTATCTATATACCACTTGCAATTGATCCATTTCCTGGATTGCTTCTAGATTTTGTCCATGTAGTGCTGCTATGAACTTGGTATACTTTCTTTTGTTCTCACTTCCGTTGGCATGAAGATAGGCCCTCGGCTGAATATTAAAAGGCTTGTGCTCACTGCAAAAGGGAGTGTGCGTGCGTGACGCCTGTCTATGAGCTCAGATCCTGTATCCTTGTCCCCCTCCACATTTCCTGCAATACATCCTTTTCTAGTGCAAGAGAGATCTAAACCTTTGCTCTTTACTCTCAACCCGTTCTCTTCTGCTTTCCCACGTCAGTAACGGTCCAGTTACATGGGCCAGAAACTTGGATTCACCTTCAACATACCCATTCTCACCCACCCCATGCTGACTTTCTTTTTTTGGACTGAGGATCGGGGATTGAACTCATGACCTTGCATTTGCCAGGCAAGCACTTGTGCCGCTGAGCTAAATCCTCAGCCCCCAAACTGATATTTTTGTCTCCAAAATAATTTGTCAAGTTTCCCAAAGTGGACAGAATATCTGTATCTCCTGGGAGACGGCAGAAGGCTCCTCACTTGTCTCCCTGCTTCCACTTAAAACTCTATCCCCTCTCTGGAGGTAAACACTCCATGACCCTTCCTGAGTCTGGTAAATGCACCCACTGACCCACCGGCCTGCCACATGTCCACCACAGCATCTGCTCCAGTCCTGCACCGTCCTCCACCATAGTTGGATCTACAAGTTCAAGGGCACCGAGTTCTCAGTGCCCACCCTGGGAGGTAGGAGCGGCTAACACAACCCGAGTTTACTCGACGCCATCCTGCTTAGTAAAAACCCCACTGGTCCCAGAAACCGCTTCCCCTGGGGTGGACTCTGCCCTGCGCATTCCCTCCACTCGGAGACACCCAAGGCGGACTGAGCGTGCGCACAAAGCCTGCGGTGGCGCGGACTGCATCTCCCAACAGGCAGCGGGGCTGCCTTCAGCCGCTCGTGACCAGCGACTTCCGGCGTAGAGAGGCGGGGCTGTGCGTGGCTGAGCCAGCAACTGGAGCCGTGAGGAGGGCGGCTGAGGGCCCGCTGGGCGCTGGCCGCCGGCCGCCATGGAGGCCGTGCCCCGCATGCCCATGATCTGGCTGGACCTGAAGGAGGCAGGTGACTTCAATTTCCAGCCGGCTGTGAAGAAGGTGAGCCACCTCCCTCCTTCCCCCGTGTACCTCTGTCGTCGCCCAGCGCCGGATGTCCCCTCGCACGCCCGCCCCTCTGCAGGCCCCGTCGGTGAGGATGGTCTTCCTCGGCCTGGGCTCCTTTGCCTCTGCCGGCACCCGCAGACCGCCCTCCTTCCGTCCCTCGCTCGCCGCTCGCTTCTCGCCTCCGCGTCGGAACCCCTTCGGGATTCTGGCCCCGGCCCGCCGCAGTTCCCAACCGGACCCCTTACTTCCTCCGCGTGACGCTTGGACCCGACTTGCCCCGCCTTTCCTCCGCGGGAGGACCGCCTTCCTCGGGGGTGTCAGCGCGCGACCCCGCGGGGACTGGCGCGGGGGATGAGAGGTCTCTGGGCTCCAGGGGCTGAGAGGGACGCTGGTCCTGGCAGTGGCGGTTTCTTTGGCGCTCACCGCAGTGCTGTGTGGCCACCTCCCTAGAAGAATCCTATTCGGAATCTCCCTTGGACCAGAAAGCAGTTCGTGTTGTTTTAAGGAAAGCTGCTGCTTTCCCTAGCTGCCTGGATGCAGGAAGGGGCATTGACCTTTGGTCACTGTGTTGGACACAGCCGACTGGAGGGTCTGGCGTTGGCGGAGGCGAGGGGGCTTCCGACGAGGCCGAGAACGGGGTGCTGAGTGGGGATCAGGCGCCCGCGGACCGCCCAGCAGCTTTGAGGACAGGAGAAGAAGTGAGAAGGAACAGCAGAAGACTGCTGAAGTTGGGAGGCCTTGGCATTTCCGCTGCTATCGCAAGCAGTAGACAGTGATTCCCAGCTCAGTAAGGTGCTCAGAGTGGTCTGGAGGTAGTTTCCTAAGAAGCCATCTCTAATCTTCTACCCACCGCTTTTGCTCAAGGCCTCATTTGTTTCCTTTGTTGGCAGTGCTGGGGGTTGAATCCAGTGGCTCAAACGCGTCAGGCATGCTCTGTCCACTCAGCTCGCTCCTGCTCCAGTCCCCTTCCCAACCCAGGCATTTTTTTCCTTTTCTATAAACCCAACAGATTAGACCAGTGAAAAATTCCACAGTTTTAACTCTTTCCCATCTTTGGTACAGATGCAATTAGACGAGTTTTTTTAAAAACACAGCAGAATTCTTGTTTTCTAGTTTTACAGAGTAAAATCAGTGTTTTGGGTTTCCCATTTTGACCTGTCCCAGTCCTTTCAGCATTTCTTGAGGTTCCTCTATGTTTGATCTGCATGCTTCTGATACACGTATCTATCTCATAGCTACTTGCTGTTTCCTTAACATGCTCTGGGCTTCATCCTCTGCATCTTTGGTGGTAGAATCCCCTCCTGCTAAGAAAAACTCAGTTTTTGCCCTGGAGGGTGATGATGGGTCCTTTTTCAATCTCTTTTAAGGTCTAGGTTAAGACCACTCTTCCATAAAGCCTTTCTTAATCCTTTTAACTGAGCTGATTTCTCTCTGAATTTGCCTCTTTTTTGAGACAGGGTCTTTGTGTAGTACAGATTTGCCTTGAACTCATAGTGATCCTTCTCATAATGATGCTCTTGCCTCTCAGCCTTTTGAATGCTGTGAGTGTAGGTGTGTACCACCATACTGGGCCTTCTGTCTTTTCTTTGATGATAAGTTATGTGTGTGTGTGTGTGTGTGTGTGTGTGTGTGTGTTTTCCTAAGGCAGTTTTGTTATGTAGCTCAGTTTGGCCTTGAACTTACAATAGTTCTCCTGCCTCAGAGGGCTGGGACTTGACACATGCACTGCCATACCTGGCTTGATATGTTTTTTGTTTGTTTGTTTGGTATTGGGGATCAAACCCACAACCTTGGCACTTGCCAGGCAGGTTCTTGTGCTGCTGAACTATACCCCCTGCCCAAAGGCTTGCTATGTTTTAACCCTTTTATTCAATTGGTGTCCTGAAGAGACATCTCCATGGTCCTCATACCCAGCGGAGCACTCTCATAGTTGGCTGTCACAAAATGTTTCTTCCATCACTTATTAGATTGGAACTATATTGCTATGAGCTCAATTGTGTGAAAATCCAGTGGATAAAAACCTCAGCCCAGAAACTTCTTGGAGATATTTTTGTTTGAACTTAGCTTTCCTGCTGTGGTCACTCATGTACAACGAGCTGGGTACAGTGTTGGGTGAACTGTGACTGTGGGAACATCTGGGCCTCTGAGACAAGTTGCTTGAGAAGCAGTGGCCCTGATACTAGAGGAGATTCTGCAGAAGCGTCTGCAGCCTGGCATTGCTTCCTTTCCTAACGCTGGAGACCCTTTCTAGCTTCTGCCAGTTATCCCGTCTCTGCCCTTGCTCTGAGCTGTGGGAATCTCTACCATCAATTTGGTGTTAAGGGTAGAATTTGACTTAGTATATAGAGTGAAAATAAATTGGTTCTTACAAGGTCAGCCTGTCAAGTACAATACGCTGAGTCCTGGTAATGCAGATGAAGACTCCCCTGCTCTGAATTCTTAGTATAGTGGAGGAAAAGAGATTTTTTTTTTTTTTTTTTTTTTTTTTGGGTACTGGGAATCAAACTCACAACTTACATTTGCTAGGCAAGCAGTTGTGAACTATATCCCCAGCTAGTAGAGGAAATTTTAAGATTGCGTAGACGACTTTAGTGTGAGACTTAAAAGTATTTGCACTGTGTAGAACGACCAGGTTAGGAGGGGTCATCAGAAAGGCTTGCTAGAGTGAATCTTAAACGATGAAAAGGAGTTTTCTAGACAGTCTCTTTGTGCGGGGTAGTCTTTTGACAAAACTTTTAATGGTGATTGGTACTATTAAATAAAATTTGTGAAATGATAGGTTCTGCTAGCCTGGGGACTAGCTATCTGTAACATGACCTCCACCAGTTTGGTACTGGACCCAGAGAAACAACTTATCTCTCCAAGACTAACTTCTGTGTTCTCCATCTCATTCCAGAGATAAACCTGCTGCTCCCTTTTTGCAGTGCACCAAGCCCAAAACTCCACAACCACCCAAGCCTCCACCTCTAGCCCCCAGTAAATCTCTCTGTCTCCTGTTTTACACAGGCAGATGCTCCTTCAAATCAGTGGTTAATATGTCATTTTGCCCACCTCCCAAACACCTCCCTGACTCAGAACGCATAAGAGTAACTTGTTTATTCTAGAGGAGAGCTGCTGCACCCCTATAAAGCTCTCCCATGCCCTCGCTAAAGGCCTCTTCTACTTTGTCTCCTTATCTATCCTGTGCTGCTTTACATTTGAGTGCCAAAAATACTCAATCATGATTTGCAGTGGGCTCAAAAGACCAAACCTGTAGTTTAATCACTGTAACTGAACTTTGGTTGGTTGCTGGAGGCCTTGTAGCCAATTAACTAATTAAACAACTAGGTAGGCAGTTGGCAGATTGATTGACTGACTAGCCAATTAGGTTGTTTCCTGTGCCAGGTACTGTTTTTATATGTGTTAGATCGAATTTGAGTTCTCTGAACCTGCTCTGGTCAGATTGCCTGATTCACAGATCATTGTGCTTTTGCTCCAATAAACACCATTTTTTAAAATCATTTGTTGATTGATTGGTATTGGCAATTGATCTCAGGACCTTGTGCTTGCCTGATAGGTACTTATGTCACTGAGCTATATCCCCTACCCCATTAAATTTAAACTTGTCAAGGGCTTTTCTTTTAGCAGCATTTCTTTTTTTTTTGTTTGTTTCTTTCTCCCAGTGGATGATAAGCCTTCCATTAAATCAGTGGTGGTACATCTGTGGTACCCGTGCTGCGGCAGGGTGTTTCTTATCTTTGAAAGCTTTAAAGGATTTGCCGTTACTTCGTTAAGCAGTGATGAGCCCGGAGTTTTGAACCACAGTGCTGAACTTTGGGTTGGCCTCCTGGGCCCACTTAATGTGTTAGTGCAGGAGTGCTGCTGGCTTTGCACTGTGTGCGTGTGTGTGTGTGTGTGTGTGTGTGTGTGTGTGTGTGTGTGTGTTCGCGCGCATGCGTACATGCATGTAGGGGGTGGTATGGAGTCCAGGCCCTTGAGCTGGGCAAATGCTGCCCCACTGAGCTGCCGGCCCATGCACCTTCCTAGCTGTGGTTTGTAGGACGAAGTGCTGACTCACTGGTCACTTGGAGTGTGACTCTTGTACTTTATGAGAGTGATTGGCCGCAGGTGTTTGTGTCCTACGGTCTCCCTGCTTCCTGACCTGAACACCCATCCTTACCCAGGCAGCATGAACCCAAGGCAGGCCTACTTGGGTTTGAGGGATGCACCCGCTTCTGACTCATTTATTCAGCTCCTGAACTGGGCATGGTGGCACACGCCTGCAATACCAACTGCTTAGGAGGCTGAGGCTGGAGGTTCAAGACAGCCTGAGCAGCCTGTCTCAAAATTTTAAAAAGAGCTGGGGGCATGACTCAGTGGCAGTGTGAGGCCTTGTGTTCAGTTCCCACTACCCCCACCCTGAGGCACTATGTGGCTACCCTGAGAACACGGAGCAAATCTGTGCCTTCGTGGAACTTTCCCCGTGGTGGTGACCTTCCAGGGTGCGTGTTCCCTTTGGTGGGTGGCCACTTGACTTGTCAGGTGCCTTTCCATTTCTCCCTCCCTTCCACCCTGGTTCAGTTGATTTCTAAGTCTCCACCGAGCTAAATCCTTGGCCCCTAAATGTTTGTAATTACAGTTACTTGAAAGGCTGAGGCAACAGCATCACAAGTTTGAGGCCAGCCTGGAAAATTTTGTGAGATTCTGTCTGGAAAAGAATACACGTATGTGTGTCTATTTATTTATATTTCAGATATTTTCATTAGCCTCTGGCTGCTCCACAGTAATATTAGCTAGCTACAGAAATCTTATTCTTTTTTTTTTTAAAGAGGTTTATTTAGCTCACAGTTTTGTTTATTTATTTATTTTTTGTCTTTTTCCTTTTTTTTTTATCGGTACCAGGGATCGAACTGCCTGCTTGCAAGGCAGGCACTTATGCCACTGAGCTAAATCCCCAGCCCCCAGAAATCTTACTCTTTTTCCCTCTCTTCCTCTTTCTGCTCCTCTGTAGTCTCTCCTCCTTTTTTTTTTTTTTTTTTTTTTTGATACTGGGAATCAAACTCTCAGGCACTCTTCCATTGGGCTTTGTCCCTAGCCCCTGTCCTTTTTAGTTTTTGTTTTGAGACAGGATCTTGCTAAGTTGCTCAGCCTGGGCTCAGACTTGCCATCCTGCCTCAGCTTCCCACAGTGCTGGGATTACAGGCATGTGGCACAGTGTCCGAGTCTTCT